AGAAATGCCCAGATATTATCTGGCTTGGATATAAGGGTAATGGTGGAAAGTAATTAGAAAGTAATTACTCTTAAGTAATCATAATTGGAAAGTAATCTCTTCAGTTTTTGGGAAAAGTTTGTGTGGAAATGGAATTTATTTCTTCCTTAAATATTTGGTAGAATTAGCCAATGAAGTTTTCAGTGGAAACTGCTTGGAAATACGTATTTTTGAAAAAGAAAAACACATTCTGAATTTTTGGTAGTGATTTCCACTCCAACTAAATAATACAGGGTTTTTATTTAATTTCATAAATTTTATATTTGTATCTTATGCTGAAAATCTTGATTTTTAATAGCATTAGCATGATTACTCATGGCTTTATCTATAATGTGTGTGTGTGTTTAGTTCAAAATAATAATTACAGTATTCAACATCTTTAATTTTGTTTTACTATTAAATATTTTCTTGATCGCAAATCAATACTAAAACCACGGTAAAGTCAGGGAACTATAAATTCCATTCCTGACCCCACCTTGCATTTTCGTCCTTTGATGATGTTTTTTGGAGGAGGTAAGGGGGCAAAAATCATATATATATGGTCCTACTTATTTTCTAAGTTTCTTTTATATTTCTTTCATCTTCTTTGCACCTGGCTATTTTCACTGAACAGTGTATCTTAGAGCTTGTCCCTCAGAAGCACAAAGGGGTCTTTTTCACTCTTTTGTATCACAGCCTAGTACTTTGCTGTATGGGTGTACCGTACTTTATTTAACCAATCTCCTACTGATGGATATTCAGGAAAAATAGTAAAAGATGTTTTCCACATTCTAGTCCACTGCATTGAAGCGTTGACTAGTAGAACTATTTAGCCTAATTTTAACAGCATTTTTATTAAAAACTTATTCGTTTATATATTACAGCAAAAATTCATTTTACAGTATGCTAGGTTTACTGTGTGGTATGATGAGGACTGAATGAGTTTTTTAGTTAGGAAGGTAAATTTCTGTACTTTTTATTATTTCTTTGGGCTAGTTTTCTTGTATTAGGGTAAGTGTAAGACTTTGTAGGCTTTTCCTTATAGCAAGTGCTTCTGTTTATCTTAAAAGACTTCTTCTTGCTTATACAACCACTCTTACCCCTCATCTAGGTGAGTGATGGTGTAATCACTCACCTAGAGCCAGACATCCTGGAATGCAAAGTCAAATGGGCCTTAGGAAGCATCACTACGAACAAAGCTAGTGGAGGTGATGGAGTTACAGTTGATCTATTTCAAGTCCTAAAAGATGGTGCTGTGAAAGTGCTGCACTCAATATGTCAGCAAATTTGGAAAACTCAGCAGTGGCCACAGGACTGGAAAAGGTCAGTTTTCATCCCAATCCCAAAGAAAGGCAATGCCAAAGAATGCTCAAACTACCACACAGTTGCACTCATCTCACCCGCTAGCAAAGTTAATGCTCAAAATTCTCCAAGCCAGGCTTCAACAGTATGTGAACCGTGAACTTCCAGATGTTCAAGCTGGATTTAGGAAAGACAGAGGAACCAGCAATCAAATTACCAACATCCACTGGATCATCAAAAAAGCAAGAGAGTGTCAGAAAAAACCTACTTTTGCTTTATTGACTATGCCAAAGCCTTTGACTGTGTGGATCACAACAAACTGGAAAATTCTGAAAGAGATGGGAATACCAGACCACCTGACCTGCCTCCTGAGAAATCTGTATGCAGGTCAAGAAGCAACAGTTAGATCTGGACATGGAACAACAGACTGGTTCCAAATTGGGAAAGAAATAGGTCAAGGCTATATATTGTCACCCTGCTTATTTAACTTATATGCAGAGTACATCATGTGAAATGCCAGGCTGGAAGAAGCACAAGCTGGAATCAAGATTGCCAGGAGAAATATCAATAACCTCAGATACACAGATGACACCACCGTTATGGCAGAAAGCAAAGAAGAACTCAAGAGCCTCTTGATGAAAGTGAAAGAGGAGCATGAAACAGTTGGCTTAAAGCTCAACATTCAGAAAACTAAGATCATGGCATCCAGTTCCATCACTTCATGGCAAATAGATGTGGAAACAATGGGAACAGTGACAGAAAACAGTTATTTTTTGGTGCTCCAAAATCACTGCAGATGGTGACTGCAGCCATGAAATTAAAAGATGCTTGCTCCTTGGAAGAAAAGCTGTGACCAGCCTAGAGAGCATAATATTAAAAAGCAGAGACATTACTTTGCCAGTAAAGGTCCATCTAGTTAGAGCTATGGTTTTTCCAGTAGTCATGTATGGATGTGAGAGTTGGACCATAAAGAAAGCTGAGCACCGAAGAAATGATGCTTTTGAGCTGTGGTGGTAGAGAAGACTTTTGAGAGTCCCTTGGACTGCAAGAAGATCAAATCAGTCAATCCTAAAGGAAATCAGTCCTGAATATTCATTGAAAGGACTGATGCTGAAGCTGAAACTCTAATACTTGGGCCACCTGATGCGAGAACTGACTCATTGGAAAAGACCCTGATGCTGGGAAAGATTGAAGCCAGGAGGAGAAGGGGACAAAAGAGAAAAGATGGTTGGATGGCATCACTGACTCGATGGACATGAGTTTGAGCAAGCTCTAGGAGTTGGTGATGGACAGGGAAGCCTAGCGTGCTGCAGTGCATGGGGTCGCAAAGAGTCGGACATGACTGAGCGACTGAACTGAACTCACCCCTCAATTTATAGTACCAATTTAGTCTAATTAATTCCTTGCTCAGGTAATAAAACCCACCATTTTTATAACACCTCAAAGACATGCTTTCTCAGTAATTTATCAGGTTAATAAAGGGCTTATGGCTGATATATCCTGAAGTATTCTGCTTCAGAAAGTATTGACTCCTAAGCCAAACAGATTAATGTCTAGTAAATACATGTGTATTAAGATATCTTAATATTATTTCAAATTTCTGTGATTTGGTGAATAAAATAGTCTTCTCAGTCTCATATGACCAGTGGTTCTGTTTGCTCGTATTTGTCTTCTATTTAAAGAATTATATTAATTATAAGTGAAAGCTGCTCAGTCATGTCCGACTCTCTGCGAGAAATCTCTAGGCCAGAACACTGGAGTGGGTAAGCTGTTCCCTTCTTCAGGGGATCTTCCCAGTCCAGGGATTGTACCTAGGTGTCCCACATTGCAGGCAGATTCTTTACCAGCTGAGCCACAAGGGAAGCCCATGTTAATAATAGTCAAGCATATTTACTCCTTTATAAATCCTCCATGGAGTTTTAACAAAGTGTTATATGATCTGAATTACATAATCTTTTCTCCAAACCTACTTCTGAGAACCCATATTCCACCCTTAACTTCTAATACACCATTTTAGCATTCTTTGATCTTAGGGAAAAAATGCAACCTTGACTTACCAAAATGGTGTATTTTTACCTCTTCCAAGGCATTGCAAAGACATTAGAATGCTTACATAGTCATTAACCTTCTGCTTACTTCCCCTCCCCCAGTTTATAAGTTGCTATTTTATTTTATGTATTTTGTGTCAAACCCCACAAGGCATAATTGTTGTTTTGTATAGTCAATGGTCATTTTAATTTTTAAAAAACTTTATGGAGGTATAGTTGACTTAACTGTACCTATCTAAAACATACAAATCAAGTTTCGCCCTATGTGTACACCCATGAAACTGTCAGCACTCATCCGTGTATATCCTCTGGCACTGCTGTTTCTACCACCTAATCTCCTAGAAAATTAAGATAGTTAACAGTTTATTGCAATTCTGTTTTGTTTTGTAACTGCTAGAAATGGAGGTAGTGCTAGAGAATTTTCATGGTTTTTTTGCTGCTATTTTAAAATTCCTTAATTTTAGAACTCAGTTTAAAAACTTTTTTCACCTGTCTTAAGCTACTTACGTTCTCTCAGGCGCCGTCAGTCTAGAAATGTAGTGCGTCTTCTGACATTCTGGTCCATGTGAGTCTTACGGCATCTGAGCTTTACCAGGGCTCCCCTGGCGGCTCAGCAGTAGCGAAGCCCCCTCCCAGTCTCCCTGGGTCTGGAAGATCCCCTGGAGAAGGAAGTGGCAACACACTCCAGTGCTCTTGCCTGAGAAATCCCATGGACAGAGGAACCATGGCAGGTAGTAGTCCATGGGGTCACAAAAAGAGCTGGACGTGACGTAGGAATTAAAACAGGCGTCTGGAAACCATTGATTTCTCCTGTTTGCTACCTCTTAGAAGTGACAGCAGACAAATCTAAAGGCTTTTCCAGTCTGATGGAGTCTGTATCTTAGTAATTGTGATTCCTAAAAGTGAGATTAGCATACATTTTTACTCAGTTTCTTATTCTGAGACTCTGAATACTGATTTTAATGATTTGTGTGAGAATATCCCCTTAGGTCATAGTAAAGGGATTTGTGTGTTTGTGTGTGTGTTTACACTCTGAGTTTTGCTTTTAATTGTATCATCTTACAGAAAATTTTCATATGTGGGGTTATAAATACGCCTTCTAGCCATGAATCTAATAGTTTTAGCCTTTGAGAGTTATTTAAATTTAATTTTCTTTTACTAAATGCTATAAGATCCTTACAATGTAAAGTAACTTGAATGACTATTTTCAAAATTGGAATTTTGCACATTCCAATTTTTTTCTAGAGTGCATCTACAATAATACTGACATTTATTAAGAGTTTACTCGTTTATGCATTTGATTGTCTCACTTAGTCCTTAAAATAACTGTGTGGTAGAAACTATTATCCCTGTGTAACAGATAAGAAATAAGGCATGGGGAATTGATGCACCTTGCAAATTCAGCAGCCAGTAAAATAGCTCTGGGGTTTAAACCAGGCAGTATACATCTGGAACCTAGCCTCTTAACCAATATGAACCTTGTCATGATTAGTTTCTTTTGCTAATGCTGGAAAAGAATTGCATGAACCAAAATGTTCTCCCTAAATAATTGTAAGATTTTTACAGCTGGGCTAAAGGGCCCACTGAGACTATGTTTGAAGGTGAAGTTAATTTTTGTTTTCGTTCTTTTAGCTGATATAGCCCAGAGATATAGGATTAGCAAATACCCAACCCTCAAGTTGTTTCGTAATGGGATGATGATGAAGAGAGAATATAGGGGTCAGCGATCAGTGAAAGCACTTGCAGATTACATCAGGCAACAAAAAAGTGACCCCATTCAGGAACTTCATATCTTGGCAGAAACCACCACTCTTGACGTAAGTCGTTGACTTTTGCTAGATCAAATGAGCATAGCCTGCTTGATTCATGTAAACAGATTCTTAGGAATTCAAAGAATCTAGACATTTTCTTATAGTTCACTGCAGTGGATTTTGATGTATACATATACATAACAAGTTGAATTTTTCTTGAACTAATTCTCAAGGGAAATGCTAATGTTTTACTGAACCTTTGAATAAAACGTATAGAGCAATGAAGTTGCACTAATTCAATTTAATTGAGGGCAAAGGGCAGCCTGAATTACGAGGAAATAGAAGTTGATGTCAGGCACGCACCAGCGTTTCCTTTTTCTGCTTAGTGGCACCCCGCAGGGTCTCTGCTCACCTCACCCCTGCAGCAGTGATTTGTATAAATTTTAGTATCTCTGACCTAACCACCCTCAATGATACATTAACAAGGTCTTTTTCTTTGTACACCAAGAAGTGTTTTAAAAGGAAATGAAAGCAATTGAGTTTGGGCTTCAGGTTGTCATTGCAACTTGATTCTTACCCTGCTTACAAATGAACAGGTTAGCCAGTCCATTTCATGGATGCTGTTAGAAGACATAAGGCTCCTGGGCCAGAGACAACAGTTTTCTTGCTCACATCACAGCAAACAGTGTGAGCACGATTGCATTTGTTTCCTTGTCCCCCAAGTCCTGTGGAGGTGAAAGAGGGCCCAGATGGATCCCTGCTCATGCAGGGGCTTGTGACAGGAGAACTCTGGGCTTGGGAAATATCTGTCTCAGAGCCAGCAGTAAGCCTGCTTTTTCTCTCCTGGTGGGAGACATCACCTCATACTTCAGCCTCGCTCCCAATAAGCACAACCTTGAGAGATGACCTGGATTAAGAATGGTCAGACTCTTGGATCTTGGGTATACCTAAATGTGTAGAAGTGTGAGAGACCCATGATGGAATCTCTGCTGACAGCCACACATTACAGATTGATGTATTATTTTAACACACCTTAGAATTAGTCATCTTATTTAGGAAAAAACTGTCACTGATTAAACAGTTATTATTTCTTAAAAATTTTAAATAAAGTGTTATTAAGAAATTATTACATTAGATGATAGTTCAGACTGTTTTCAACCTAATGTAATCTTTAATAGTTTTGGATTAGGTGTTAAAAGCCGGTTATAGTTCATTCGGAGATAACTGAACAGCAGCTAGGTAAATGAAATAATATGTTTTTTAAAGAACTACATATGTTTATAAAGTAATTACATATTTTATTTACAGCGCAGCAAAAGAAATATCATTGGATATTTTGAGCAGAAGGATTCAGAAAACTATAGAGTTTTTGAAAGAGTAGCAAATATTTTGCATGATGATTGTGCCTTCCTAGCCGCCTTTGGGTAAGTAGCCTAATAGGTACAGTGTGTTGGTGGTTGGGTCAGCTCAGCTGCTATGTTAAATTCTTGTTGTGGGTGGTGGTTTTTTGAAGATGATCTCTCATAAACATGATCTCAGTCCTCTTAAAGTCACTGACAAGTTTTTATGCCTATCTCTGACCTCTCTTTTTAGGAGTTTAAAAGTCTGTTAATTATTCTTTCTGTACTATATTTTTCAAAATGTAGGTAAGAGGAAAAGGATAGACCAGCTTTTCCTCTGTCTTTTCCCTGCCTCAGAGGAACCGCGCTCCACTCCACAGCTAACCTCTCCACTAGTGTCCTTACAGCCGTCCCTTCAAACTCCTCTGGGGCTTTGATCCGTCAGTTACCCTTGCTTTCACATGTTTCCAGTCTGACCCTTATCATGAACTGTTTCCTTTTCCAAAAGCATGATTCTCTATTCCTAATCTGTGTCTTCTGTCTCTTGAACTGTTAACTCATCTCTTTCTTTTCACTCTTAAGTTTTTTCAAAGATGAGTTATGCTTGACTGCCCTGAATTTCTCACACTCTGATGGTTCAAATATATTAGTCTCCTAAAAGCTTTTACCTCCGTTACCCTAAAGAAATTTCTCTCTGTGACTTCTTAAAGTGACTTTCTCAAAGTGACTTCTTAGTTAGCAAATCCGTGGTCTTTTTTTCCCAGTCAGGTTCCCCACAATTTCTCTGAAGGATGTGACCCTGAACCACCCTGTCCTTCTGCTGTGTCTGTGTCTCCCTGGTTTGATCCTTACATTTCTGATTTCCCTGGCTTTATCTTCTTTTTTTTTTCTTTCTCTTTCAAACTGGAATCATTCTTATGGTTCTGTCCTTGAGTCTCTTCTCACTGAAAATTATCTCCACCATCCTTTGATACTTTGCAGTACTATCTGTCTTCTTTGGCCTGCAACTGATAAGATTCAATTGCAGCAGCTTGACTAGTACAGTTGTAGTCTTGAGTAGAGCCCAGATATCAGGCATAGTATTTCCCCTCCGGTTTGTGACCTTTTCCCTTATTTTAAATGCTTCTGTAGGCTTTGTATGTGTGTTCTATTGTAAACATTATCAGTGTTTTATGAGGATGGTTGTACAAAGTAAATGATGAAGGAACTTCTCCCTTATGCTTTTTGCATTACTGTTTTCAGCCATGCAGGCCCCTCACTATTCCTCTAGCACTGCAAGCACACTTCATAGCAGACATTTATCCTTACTGTCTGTATCCAGAGGGCTTTATCCAGATATCACCTCAGTTACTGGAAACAATCTGGGGTCAAAAACAGCCATTTACTGCCAAAACTTCTAATCCAAAGATAACATACTGAATCACAGAGACAGCTAACTAAAATGTCCCTTAAAAAAAAATCTGCCTTGTACTAAACTTTTCCTTCAAATGTATGCTCTTCTTGGTGTTGCATAATCTTATAAGTAGGAAAGATGGGAAAGTATGTATTTCAAGTTATAGTTCATATGTTGCAAAACAACTAGCGTATTTCCTATGCATGCTTGCTCAGTCGTGTCTAAATCTTTGTGACTCCATGGACTGTAGCCCGCCAGGCTCCTCTGTCCATGGGATTTCCCAGGCAAGAATACTGGAGTAGGTTGCCATTTCTTACTCCAGGGGATCTTCCCAACCCAGGGATCAAACCCGAGTCTCTTGCATCTCCTTGGCAGGCAGATTCTTTACCACTGTGCCACCTGGGATACTTCAGACATATTACTGCTGTTACTTTTCTTAAAAAATATTATCACTGTTTCTCTCTCTCTGTTAGAGCTGTCTCAAAACCGGAAAGATACAGTGGAGACAACATAATCTATAAACCACCGGGGGTAAGCTGCTGCTTCTTAGTGCGTATGATTTAAAATGTGAATATATGTACGCTATAGTTTGTAGCTTTGTACATGTTAATACTCACAGATTCATAAAGTTTTAGTATTGGAGGGAACCTTAAGACATCATTTTGTGCTAATCCAAACCTTTCAAAGTAAAGATGAAGACACAAGCCCAAAGTCACACAGGCATTTAGTGGCAGAGCTGGGATTAGAGACCCCCTGACCCCCAAGCCTTTCCCACTTCTGTTTCACCTTCAGTCTGGGACTCACATTCAGAACAATGCCTCAGAGGTCTGTGGCCATCACTCTAGCTTGAATGAGACTAGCCAGACTCCCACGTCTCCTGGGGTATAAGTTCACCTGGTACTTGCCAGATACTAAGGAGCACTAGGTTGTTTTTAACCCTTGGTAAGAAGTTAAGTGTATCTAAACTTAGAAGTAGCTGTTTAGGCCCAGGTGATGGTAACCACAAATAAGAAGGGCAAAACTCACAGTTATTATTACCCCAAATTGACCTAACAGTCTGAAAAAGCTGGCTTAAAACTCAGCATCCAAAAAGCTAAGATCATGGCATCTGGTCCCACCATTTCATGGCAAATAGATGGGGGAAAGCTGGAAGCAGTGACAGATTTTCCTTTCTTGGGCTCCAAAATCACTGCGGACAGTAACTGTCGCCATGAAATTAAAAGACGCTTGCTCCTTGGAAGAAAAACTGTGACAAACCTAGAAAATGTATTAAAAAGCAGAGACATCATTTTGCCAACAAAGGTCCTTATAGTCAGAGCTGTGGTTTTTCCAGTGGTCATATATGGGTGTGAGATTTGGACCATAAAGAAGGCTGAGTGCCAAAGAATTAATGTTTTGAATTGTGGTGCTAGCAATGACTCTTGAGAGTCCCTTGGACTGCAAGGAGATCAAACCAGTCAATCCTAAAGGAAATCAGTTCTGACTACTTATTGGAAGGACTGATGCTGAAGCGAAGCTCCAATGCTTTGGCCACCTGATGCAAAGAGCCAGTTCATTCAAAAACACCCTGATGCTGGGAAAGAATGACGACAGGAGGAAGGGGATGACAGAGATGAAATAGTTTGATAGCATCACTGACTCACTGGACATGGACTTGAGCAGACTCTGAGAGATGGTGCAGGACAGGAATGTCTGGCATGCTGCAGTCCACGGGGGTCACAAAAAGACGGACACGACTCAGTGACTGAACCACAACAGAATACATACACGTATCTGTATAAACCTATACAGACATGTATGTATGTGTAACTGAGTTACTTTGCTATACAGAAGAAATTAACACAACACTGTAAATCAACTATGTATGTGAAAGTCGTGCAGTCGTGTCCAGCTCTTTGTGACCCAATGGACTTACTGTCCATGGAATTCTCCAGGCCAGAATACTGGAGTGGGTAGCTTTTCCCTTCTCCAGAGGATCTTCCCGACCCGGGGATCGAACCCAGGTCTCTCGCATTGCAGGCGGATTCTTTACAAGCTGAGCCACAAGGGGAACCCAAGAATCCTAGGGTGGGTAGCCTATCCCTTCTCCAGTGGATCTTCCCAACCCAGGAATTGAACCGGTGTCTCCAGTTATCAGGGAAGTCCATAAATCAACTATACTTCACTAAAATAATACAGTCGGCTACCTTCCGAGGTGTAAAACTCTGCGAAAGTTTGTGAGCTTCTTTGTGCTTTACCTTGTTCATTAGTAAAAATAGCCATGATAAATCTAGTACTGCTCTATGGGGATGTTTTGAGGATTAACTGAGTCAACACATACAAGGTTCTTAAAACACATACAAGGTGATAAAACAATGCTTGGTCACAGTAGTTGGCTTAGGTAATGTTATCAATTTATCATCATTTTAGGCACTTCACAGGTACTGATTTTGAGTGAATGTGAAAACAGATAACAGCAGTTAATTTAGAGATAGCCATACCTTAGATTTATATAGTACCATGTATTTTTCAAGGCTTTTTCACTGGAAGTCTCCAAATTTTCTTCTGACGTTTTTGAAGGGAGAGATAGCTCAATTAAATCATTAGGATAATTCTTCTTTTCCCAACACCTGCCGGCTATTGATGAAGACACTAATAGGCATTTACCTGATGCAAATCCAAGGGAAAGGGGAAGGCTTAGGCATCACAGATTAGATAATCAGGTCCCTCGTAATTATAGTTAGCAGCTTATTACCGTCAGTAGTCCTCTTTCTCAGAAGTTCCATGATTTTTTGCTTCTTTTATATCCCATGTAGATTTTCTGAGCTCATAGATGGCTTTAAGAATGCAGTTTTGCTAGCACAGGTTAGATGTTTACTTTTTTCTTTGTTTTTGTAACAGCATTCTGCTCCAGATATGGTGTACTTGGGATCTATGACAAATTTTGATGGGACTTACAACTGGATTCAAGATAAATGCGTTCCTCTTGTCAGAGAAATAACATTTGAAAATGGAGAGGTATGGCTTTCTAGTGTATGTTGTTATTTTAAATTAAGATTTCCAAAAGAGCAAGCTTCTTCTACGCATCTTACTGTTTTAACACAGAACTTATTGTCACAGTGAACACATCATAGCTGTTTGCATAATGCAGGCAGTGGTCCTCCACGTCTGCTGGCCCAGCCCCACTGTTGGTTTCCTGCAGTAGCAGTGTTTCGTGACCACCTTGAAAATGAGTCTGAAGGTGATTCTGATCCCACCCTTGGTTGAAGATTCTTATTTAAGGAGATTGCTTTAGAAGCAATGTTCTGCAGATTTTAGTTACAATTAATTATATACAGTGAATAATCCTTTGCTTTGAAAAGGTTTTTCTGGTTCCTCTCCTAAAAGAATGAAACTGTGTTCTCTTTTCATTGTAAATAATGAAAGCAATTATTATTACCATGTAACTGTCCTCAGTGATCCCATGTGCCTGAAATAAAGCCCATCTCCAATTCTTAACAACTTCCATAAAAACCTAGGAGGTTGGAGGAGCAAATACAAAGAGCTATGTCTGTCTTTAAACAGACATCTCTCTTTTTTACTGTATTTGAAACATAGCTTTCATTTTATTTTACTCCTTCACTTTCAAAACCCACAGCCTAAGAATGTAATTTTAAAAAATAAACTTTTTTTAAGCTAAAACTTTCAATATGTATATATGCTTCAAAAGAATTATAAGTGCATAGCTCAGGTATTAAGTATACAACCCAAGAAATTATCACAGAGTAAACACTCTCATATAATTCCCACCAAGTCAGAGGTTGGCAGTTCTTAAAAAGTCAGTGAGTATTTTAAGGCTTTGCAGCTCACACAGTTTGTGTTGCCGCTATTCAACCTGCAGCTTTGGACAGTACATAAGTGAGTGTGGTCATGTTGCAGGAAAGCTTGCTTGCTTGGTTATTGTCTTAGTTTTTATCGAGTGAACATCCTTTCTACTTTCTCAGTTCCCTGGACTTCAGGTATGTTTATCTGAATTGATTAACGTTTTTATTGTAGCAGCTCAGTTAGACCTTAGATACTCAGAAAGATCTAGTAACCTGTCACGATTATTCACCTGCTTTGGCAGTTCTTACAGGGTTAGTTTCAAAACCATTGAAAGGCACAGACCTGGAAAATCTCAAACAATTAAACAGTGGTCTGTCCTTCCTCCCCCAACCCTGCCTCTCCTGTAGTGGTTGGCACATTTAATGACATTCTTTAGACTAGTTACATTTCATAACCAGTTACCCACAGACCCTTTAAAATATGAGGAAAGATTTGTTAACCTGTAAATCGGGTTGTCTTGCTCTCTTTCTCCTGAATTGCTGACTACATAACTTGTAAAGAACTTTTTGGTGCAGATGTGGACATGGGTACATTGGAAGCTCTAGTAGGTTGTTAATGTATGTAAATTAGTTTAGCAAACTAATTCACATAGATATTTTCAAACTATTAATGTATTACTTCTCTCTTAACAGTTGTTAGTTCATCTATATTTGTAGGATTTTGTTTAAACAAAAAATTTTGTTTAGTCACAAAATTAGTAATTTTGTTGATTACTAATAAAGTAATATATTTGTTTCTACTTTTAACTTCTTAGCTCTTAAATTTTCTAAAAAGTAACATGCCACATGGAGGCACTGAGAAAATGTTCTGAGAGTTCAGAACAGATTCAAGGTGTTTCTGTGTGTGTATGCACCAGGTGTATATATAAACATACACATAGGTAGTGGAAGTATTTGTTAATAATGTTGATACACTGTATATTGATTGAAAACTGGCTGTATTATGGGGGTTTTGTCTTTTGCTCTGTATCACTTTTCAGCTGTTGGTAGGTCTCATGTAAGTGGCGTGGTTTTTGCAATAAGCCTTAGAATAAACGTAAGTTTGCAAATCAGTTAGATTTACTTATTGCTGTACACTCAGTTTTTCAATGTTATCTGTGAAGAGTGTTTATCCTTTCATAAAAATCAGCATTTTGAAAAAGAACAGCACAGCTCTTCCTTTAGTCAGCTCATGTTTTAGATATCATGGCTTCATCCAGGTCAGCTCAGGGTTACCTTAAGGCCGTCAGTTCCCACGGTACAGCAGGATGCATGGGGCCGTTCTCCGTGGTTCCTTCCTCCGCTGAGGCGTTTATTTATACCGTGGTCTCTTTTTCATGGAATGTTGCAGCTGCTCTATGTTACATGGGCTGAGGATAAAATTGTTCCTACCTAGAAAATAGCTAGAGCTGAATGGAGAGGCCTGATGATTCTCACTGAATACTTCTCTATACAGGAACTGACAGAAGAAGGACTGCCTTTTCTGATACTGTTCCACATGAAAGAAGATACGGAAAGTTTAGAAATATTCCAGAATGAAGTAGCCCGACAATTAATAAGTGAAAAAGGTAGACAGATTAAGGTGTTTATATCCTTCTTTTCTCTGTTTTTTAACTTTCCCTCCTTTCCATTACATTAATATTGACATAAGCATATTTGGATTAAAAACTTGTTATTTTAACTCCTAAAATCACATGAAAATATGGGGAAGGGAGGTATGAGTAGAGATAATGCAAAGCAGTAGCTTTAAAAAAAAAAAACACAATTTTTTTAGCTCTTTAAAATCAAGAAAAGTGGGGTCATGGGTGGACAGTGTGTTTTAGGCACTTTCTTCCCGCACCCCGATGCTTATCTGGTCCTTCTCTAATAGTTCCAGAGATGTTGCCGAGAGGACTTACACAGCCTGATTAGCGTTTACCGTATTTCTAAATGAAAGTGAGTAGCTCTCTGCAGACTTCTCCAGAGCATCAAAAGGGAACTTGAGTTATCACCAGCTTTCCCTCTATAGTTGGAGAAGAAAGTCAAACAAAACAGACTGAAGGCTTTGTATAGAGTCATGCCCATATCAGTCTCTGTAAATATTTTGGGGGTTGCATTAGATTAGAACTCAACCAGCAGGGACTGGAAGGGCATTCTTGATGAAATGAAGATGTTCCCATGAGAACAGACAAGGATAATCTGCAAGGCAAATGATTGCCCAGAAAAATCTAAAATTCACTATTGCATTTCTTTTTTTTTTTTTTCCACTATTGCATTTCTAAAGAAATTATACTCTCTGCCTTAAGAATTAAAATCCTACCTCTCTAAAGTGTTGTAATATTTAGGTGTTAGTCTTTGTGGTCTATATTACTCTAAAGAATGTTGGGAAGTTTATAGTATATCACTTTTTATGAACTTGCAAACTTATGAAAATATAATAAAGAATATTCTAATCTACTCTCCAAATTCTATTTCTTTTTAAGGTACAATAAACTTTTTACATGCTGACTGTGACAAATTCAGACATCCTCTTCTGCACATACAGAAAACTCCAGCAGATTGCCCTGTAATAGCTATCGACAGCTTTAGGCATATGTATGTGTTTGGAGACTTCAGGGATGTATTGTAAGTATTCATTTTGCTTTTTTTTTAATTTTTTTTTTCCATTTATTTTTATTAGTTGGAGGCTAATTACTTTACATCATTGCAGTGGTTTTTGTCATACATTGAAATGAATTAGCCATGGATTTACATGTATTCCCCATCCCGGTCCCCCCTCCCACCTCCCTCTCCACCGGATCCCTCTGGGTCTTCCCAGTGCACCAGGCCCGAGCACTTGTCTCATGCACCCAACCTGGGCTGGTGATCTGTTTCACCCTAGATAATATACATGTTTCGATGCTGTTCTCTGGAAACATCCCACCCTCGCCTTCTCCCAGAGTCCACAAGTCTGTTCTATACATCTCTGTCTCTTTTTCTGTTTTGCATATAGGGTTATCATTACCATCTTTCTAAATTCCATATATATGTGTTAGTATACTGTAATGGTCTTTATCTTTCTGGCTTACTTCACTCTGTATAATGGGCTCCAGTTTCATCCATCTCATTAGAACTGATTCAAATGAATTCTTTTGAATGGCTGAGTAATATTCCATGGTGTATATGTACCACAGCTTCCTCATCCATTCATCTGCTGATGGGCATCTAGGTTGCTTTCATGTCCTGGCTATTATAAACAGTGCTGCAATGAACATTGGGGTGCACGTGTCTCTTTCAGATCTGGTTTCCTCAGTGTGTATGCCCAGAAGTGGGATTGTTGGGTCATATGGCAGTTCTATTTCCAGCTTTTTAAGAAATCTCCACACTCTTTTCCATAGTGGCTGTACTAATTTGCATTCCCACCAACAGTGTAAGAGGGTTCCCTTTTCTCCACACCCTCTCCAGCATTTATTGCTTGTAGACTTTTGGATAGCAGCCATCCTGACTGGCGTATAATGGTACCTCATTGTGGTTTTGATTTGCATTTCTCTGATAATGAGTGATGTTGAGCATCTTTTCATGTGTTTGTTAGACATCTGTATGTCTTCCTTGGAGAAATGTCTGTTTAGTTCTTTGGCCCATTTTTTGATTGGGTCATTTGTTTTTCTGGAGTTGAGCTGGAGGAGTTGCTTGTATATTTTTGAGATTAATCCTTTGTCTGTTGCTTCATTTGCTGTTATTTTCTCCCAATCTGAGGGCTGTCTTTTCACCTTGCTTATAGTTTCCTTTGTTGTGCAAAAGCTTTTAAGTTTCATTAGGTCCCATTTGTTTATTTTTGCTTTTGTTTCTAAAATTCTGGGATGTGGGTCATAGAGGATCCTGCTGTGATTTATGTCGGAGAGTGTTTTGCCTATGTTCTCCTCTAGGAGTTTTATAGTTTCTGGTCTTACATTTAGATCTTTAATCTGTTTTGAGTTTATTTTTGTGTATGGTGTTAGAAAGTGTTCTAGTTTCATTCTTTTACAGGTGGTTGACCAGTTTTCCCAGCACCACTTGTTAAAGAGGTTGTCTTTTTTCCATTGTATATCCTTGCCTCCTTTGTCAAAGATAAGGTGACCATAGGTTCGTGGATTTATCTCTGGGCTTTCTATTCTGTTCCATTGATCTATATTTCTGTCTTTGTGCCAGTACCATACTGTCTTGATGACTGTGGCTTTGTAGTATAGTCTGAAGTCAGGCAGGTTGATTCCTCCAGTTCCATTCTTCTTTCTCAGGATTACTTTGGCTATTCGAGGTTTTTTGTATTTCCATACAAATTGTGAAATTATTTGTTCTAGTTCTGTGAAAAATACCATTGGTAGTTTGATAGGGATTGCATTGAATCTATAGATTGCTTTGGGTAGTATAGCCATTTTGACAATATTGATTCTTCCAATCCATGAACATGGTATATTTCTCCATCTGTTTGTGTCCTCTTTGATTTCTTTCATCAGTGTTTTATAGTTTTCTATGTATAGGTCTTTTGTTTCTTTAGGTAGATATACTCCTAAGTATTTTATTCTTTTTGTTGCAGTGGTGAATGGTAAAATTACTGATATGTGTTTCAAAAATGAACTTAAAGTGACTGTTTGGATATTTTAAATAATCCTATGTTGAAACAGTAATGCTTTGTTATTTGGAAGGAAGAGTTTTTGTTTTTTTTGACCTCCAGAGGGTAGGATGAGTGACTGGGGATCCCCATGCTGGTCCCAGGCTTAGGACTCGGTGCTTCCACTGCTGTGGCCTGGGTTCAATCCCTGGTCAGGGAACTAAGGTCCCACGAGCTGAGCACATAGCCAAGGAAAAAAAAGGAAAAGAAAATGTTAAATGACGATGAGAATTATGATATATCCCTATAGAAATGCCAGCATTAGATCTTCTTCAATGCTTGGGAATTAATTTCTGAAAGAAAATTTTTGACCTATGAGAAATATGTTTTGAATTTAATGTAGTCTTTGTCAGCACATCAAGGGAGTAAGTAGGTTAAAGAAAATGAATAATACTGGTGCTCATTTTGACTGTGTATCAGGAATGTTCGTGGTATTTAAGACCAGAAGATGGCTGTGACAAGGTGTCTATAAAGGCATACAGCTAAGAACCTTCCCAGGAACAGATACGCTTTCTGACTCTGTTCTCATCGTGTTAATCAACATAAACCTAGTAACTACCACGGATATTACTATTTATATCAGCTTTCTGAGATGTTAGATACAGCAGTTAAAGTGGAAATGTTTCTTCGTATATGAAAAATTTAAGCAATACAGGTATTCAAAATAGACCTTTTCTTTTCAAAATTAATTTAAACCTCACCCATTTTAATGTTTAAAGAGTAAATTTCACAGTTTGAGGGTGATTTGAAGTCCTGTTGCAGAATGGATTACCTCATTCACTTCTGAGTATTTTAATAGCGATATGGCTGTCTGATAGAAGAGCCTCAGTGCTCAGATAGAGGACGTCTCCACTGGGGTCCTCCCTCAGGCGAGTCACGGGGTCGCAGCGTCGGCTCGACTGAGCGGCTTTCACTTTCACACACGTCCCTTCTCTCGCACCTGTTTCTTTACACTTAACACGGGGTTGGTGGCGCACGCTTCCTAATGAGATTGTCACAGAAATGAATGAGCGATGATGTTGTGTTATGAACCATTAAGTACTTAAAAATATTAGCTATTTTTATTTTACCTCAGCAACCCCCCTCCTGTCCCCTCATTCAGCCCACAGTGTCTGTACTTGTTCCTGCCAACATCGCCTTTCTCCAAGCCCCGTCTCCGCTCCTCCATGAAAAGCTTCTCCAGAACATTCGGTCCTGCCTCAGGTGTTAACAACTCCAGAAACCTTGGATCAGTGCCCCTCTGTTGAGCCCTGTCAGAGCTCTTAAACCATGTTATAAAACCCAGCTGCCTATTCCCAGCTCACCTCCTTTTTCTAGCTGGCTGTGAGTTCTCGGACTGGGCTGGGGATCCAGTCTTAGTAAACTTTTTAGATTATATATAAACCATTGGTTTTATTTTATATATAAACCATTGGTTGATATTATACAACGGGCATATAGAAGACCCAGATAAATATTCAGTGAGTTAACATGCTGAGTGTTATTCTTCCGAGTGTAGGTAAAGTGAAAACATCTAAATTGCTGAGCGTTGTGTGAGCACTGACTGTTGTGTTAGAATTGTCTTAGCTGGTTGCGTCTCCTCTTCCTCTTGCTTCATTGGCTTGCCTCCAGAGTCTGTGAACTCAGCTAAAAGCACAGACCTTTTAGGAGAGGGGGCAGCTGTCGTAGTGGTTGAGTTCACTTCAAGAGCTTCCAGGCAGTGACAATGCTTGGTATTAAAATGCTGCCCTCTTCATGGGTTATTTGCATGAATTTTTATATTTTCCTGCCTCTGGTATCTTGGGTTGATTATTTACGTCTTCCTTTCACTGTAAATCTACAGCCCTAGTTATGAAGTCTCAAGTTAGCCAGAGTCAAGAGGATGCTGACTCGGGTTAGGCTCACTAGTCAGAAACCAAACTCTGCCCAAGTTTGGCTTTTGTTCCCAAGAACGTTGTTTCACATGAAGGGAAACCTGTGACAGATTTCACCTTGGCTATATTTTAAGTTTTCTCCTCCAGTTCTGAAGTCAGATTTAAAACACTCTAGCCTTTCCAATCCCATCTTGGTGTCTGTTAGAGTACCCAAACTAAGATCAGTGGTCATACTATTTATTACATGACCCAATCCCCCTATCCTCCAGCCACAGGTCACTGGACCAAGAGATGGGCATGTTACCAAGAAAAGCTAATTTGTCAGCTGGCAGCACTCTCTGCTTGTGCCCTGGTGCAAAAAAACCCACTGAGTCAGTAAAATTCCCCAAAGAAACATGGAAATGGGAAATGATCCTTGCCCATCCTGCAAGTGTGGAGTCCTGTGAGCAGAGAGGGAGATAAGAGAAGTGATTGTATTTGAAGCTCTGAAACAGATTACTTTTAATTTCTCCCTTAGGTGCCTGGTTTCCCCTCCTAGGCACTGTTCCCTCTAATATTTTTTTAATTATAAGAAGGCACATGCTGTGTGAGCTACAGACTGAGCCTATGTGAATAGATGTTAGTGTTAAAAAATAAAAGACATGCAGCAAAGTGAATCCGACACATTTAATGGCTTGTGTGATTGTTACTGTGCTGTGTGGTAATTAAGGCTTAAATGATAAGCCATTTCCATAAATTACTGTAATTACTATTACTTTTACTTGGTAACTCAGCAGTTCTGGAGTCATCTGGTGGAAGTATGTGGTGGTAAGGAGAAGGAAAGCAGATTTATGATGCGGTCTCCTCCCATACTAAAGGTAGGCATTGCAGCCTGGTGTGGGGAACTGCGAACCAGTGTTCTGTTCATCTCTTATTTCAGAGAAACTGAGGTTTAGTGATGTGACATAGCCAGCAAGGCCACACCACTAATCACTGGCAGGGCTAGAAGTCATGGCAGAGTATATTGAACCCCCAAACCTCAAGCTCGTAACACTTGATACCAAAACAGTTACATTTTCAGTACATACAAAAGCAGTGTAAGCCTGAATCTGAAAGATGTTTGAAGAGGCACTGTTTGTTAATACCTGAAACTGAATCACACATCT